CTGTTCTTTTCGTCATTTTTGATAGTCAGATCGACCACATATTCGGGAAGCTGTAGAGTAGAGAGTAAAAAACTTATTGACCTAACTCCGTTGGAGAAAAGCTCCTAAGAGGGCTAATAAATAAACAAAAGACTCGATCTCACCTCGAGGTTGAGCTTTTCCTCGCTGCCCTTTACATCTTTACAGAAATCAAAGTTAAAAAAAGATTTCTGTTACTAATTTAGCTGAAAAGAACAGTGCTTACGCATATGTAATCATATGTAATCTCATTGAAGATGTACATATGATTTAAAAAAATTCGCACTTACCACTCGCCATTCTGATCGACGAAGACCTCGTGGTTTGACTGAAAAAAGGTATACAGCTGGCCTGTGACTCGGCCTGACTCGGACATGACTCGGGCTCGGACTTGACTCGGAGAATGGATTCACTCCTATTTGGACCACCCTGTTTTTTCGCCGAGTCAAACCTCAAAGTTATATTCAGCATCATAGTGCACCGACCCTTTGGCTCCATCCGGGCATAAGCACATTTCATTGTATTAATTGTGTTTTCGTTTGTTTTTGTTTTGTTCACTTTTGAGCATGAAATAGAGGTAATTTCCTTTAAATAATGTGTGATCCTATCTGTCTGTTACTGCCCTTTTGTTTACTCTAAATGGGACATCGATATCCTTCACAGCAACAAGGGCTTCAGCAATTGCTGCCCACTTAGCACTCTGAGTGGTTCCCTTTTTTATATCAGTAAATGGGTCAGTTATAATTTCCCTGCATAACAACATATCATGCTTTTCTGTCCACACCATGTTCCTTTTAAAACTAAAACGAAAAAGCAAACAAAAGTTTTATTCTACACAAGATAATCATAGTCAGGCTGGCGGGTTAAAAAAAACGGCATATGTAGAATAGTACTGAATTTGTAAGCTTCCTTGTCTTTTAATCGTAACACTGCAAATTCCTTGACAAAAATCAAATGCCCGACAGTGGTTTGTTATTTTACTGTAACGTAACCTAAAATGAGTACACTAGGAAAGAAACGAAAGTCACAATGCTTACACATTATGCATTACATTTGCGTACACTGAGTAGTTTACAAAAGTTGTAAAAAATGTAATCTGTGCAAATTATAATCTATTCGTGCGGTTGCAAGAAACAACCAGCGATTCCCAAACTACGAACGCAATTGGGAAATTATTAAACATGAACGACACTTTAAATTAACTGAAAGCCAGCCGAAAAACAATAAATACATGAGAGGTTATTTTGTGCATTTACCCGGTGGGTTACATAACTCGGAAGTTTCGTATGAATTAGCAAGAAAATTCGAAAACCGCTAGCAATAACACTTTTCCAAGGTTTAATGCAAGTATCACAATGGGTCATTCTAGGACATGTTAGTACAATCCAATGGTACTAGGGTAAAGCAGCAGATTGAAATGACTTCCACCAGTTTTTCAGCTGAAATGTAATGCATCCTATTCAGTACTTTAAGTGCAAACAAGATTGGAAACGCCACAAGAA